CAGTACGAGGAGTTGGGCAGTGGTCGCAGGTTCCGCCTGTTCCTTTGCTTCCGTCCTCTCCTTTATGCCCATCGCTGCCAGGGTCCCCGTGAGCTCCAGCGTGTCCATCGTCTCCGTGAGGGCCCATCTCACCTGGAGCTCCTGGCATTCCTGGATTTCCAGGTTTCCCGTCTGGACCGGGAGGTCCTGGTGGTCCAGGAGGCCCAGGTGGCCCTTGGTTTGTGGTACCTGGTATAAGTCTTCCGGGTGTACCCGGTGCTCCAGGATTTCCTGGTGGTCCAGCGTTTCCAGGCGGACCCATTGGTCCAGGAGCCCCCATGCTTCCTGGGTTTCCAGGTCCTCCGGGTCGTCCATCTGAACCAGGTTTTCCAGGGGCTCCCTGCTGTCCTGATTTTCCTGGAGGTCCTTGTGGTCCAGTGGGGCAGGTGAAACAAGGAGCAACCTGTCCCGGGGTAGGAGTTGCTGGTGGTCCATCGGGACCATTCCTTCCAGGCTGTCCAGGTCCCCCATCCCTGCCAGGCTGTCCAGCTGGTCCCGGAGGTCCTGGTGGTCCACTCGCAGATACACCGCAACCGCAGCAACCGCCACCAGCCTGACGACGGCTCCTGCTAGAAGCCTTTGTGAGAACCTAAAGTTCAAGGGCTATAGCGTATCGCTTCGCAGCCAACAGAAAAAAACTTGCCTGAGTACGAGTCACTTCTCTCCAGATGTTTCCTGAGCGCGATTTGCAGAAGTCAACTTCATTCTGCATGACCGAATGCATGTGCTGCATATAGTTGTAGAGCATCGGGACGGAGATGATGCAGATCAGGGTTGCTGTAGTAGAGAGAGCAACTCCGAGGAAGGCAATTCGCCTCAGTGAGAGAGCTTCAGATTCCCAGTGCTTCTCGTCGTAAGTCATTGCGATGCAAACACTTCGACCACTGTTCTTTTTATACTTCCTGTCAGGGTCATTTTCGCTTTGGGATTGCACATTTATTTGCATATCAGTTTTGTATATGTTCGCTAAGCCAGTGGTACCTCATAACAAGGTCAACTGAAGATGAGAGCGCTAAAGATAACATTTGTTCCAGATTTAAAACTGCAAATTCCTTTGACTTTTCACGCGCGATCTGTGTAGGAGATTATTGTCAATGAGCGTGAATGTCTCAAGAC